TGTGACTGCAGTAGTAGTTTATCACTACTGTGTTTGGAGTCTGAGAGTTCGAAGAAAAATATAACGTATGGTAAATAGTCAGTGTGGTTTCAGATCTAAAAGATCGACCTCAATAGCCATAAATGATTAGCCTGAATCTGCCAGACCCTTGTAGTTCCGCCATGCTCCACCAGAGGCGTTTGGCTGAACCACATGTGTGAAGTGCAGCGAACTACATGGGTCTGGCGAGAGTCAGGCTAATAAATGATGCCATCCATCCATTTTCTGCCCCTTGATCCATTTCTGGGTCAGGGGGGTGGCAGTCAGAGCTACTATCTTTCAGCGGGGTTAAGTGTCTTGCCCAAGGACACAACAACAGCAGTCATCAGTGGGAGTCGGCAGAGAAAGTGTCGAGGTGGGAATTGAACGCATGACCTTCAGGCCTACAGGCTAATGCTCTACCTACTGAGCTACCGTCACCAGAGAATGATGCCACAGAAGATATATCAAAAGCTTAACAACCAAAAAACGTCCATTCGGAATTTTCATGAATTATGAAAAAGGCCTTTGAGTCCTTATAATCCTGCTTAAAATTGGTGATTGGTTTGTACATTTCCCACCGATCACCCAGTCATGGACACTCACATGGTCCATGATATGGTCCATGCTACAGGCTAAGGACACTCACATGGTCCATGATATGGTCCATGCTACAGGCTAAGGACACTCACATGGTCCATGATATGGTCCATGCTACTGGCTAAGGACACTCACATGGTCCATGATATGGTTCATGCTACTGGCTAAGGAGACTCACATGGTCCATGATATGGTCGATGCTACTGGCTAAGGACACTCACATGGTCCATGATATGGTCCATGCGACTGGCTAAGGACACTCACATGGTCCATGATATGGTCGATGCTACTGGCTAAGGACACTCACATGGTCCATGATATGGTCGATGCTACAGGCTAAAGACACTCACATGGTCCATGATATGGTCCATGCTACAGGCTAAGGACACTCACATGGTCCATGATATGGTCCATGCTACTGGCTAAGGACACTCACATGGTCCATGATATGGTTCATGCTACTGGCTAAGGACACTCACATGGTCCATGATATGGTCCATGCTACTGGCTAAGGACACTCACATGGTCCATGATATGGTCCATGCTACAGGCTAAGGACACTCACATGGTCCATGATATGGTCCATGCTACTGGCTAAGGACACTCACATGGTCCATGATATGGTCCATGCTACTGGCTAAGGACACTCACATGGTCCATGATATGGTCCATGCTACAGGCTGAGGACACTCACATGGTCCATGATATGGTCCATGCTACTGGCTAAGGACACTCACATGGTCCATGATATGGTCGATGCTACTGGCTAAGGACACTCACATGGTCCATAATATGGTCCATGCTACAGGCTGAGGACACTCACATGGTCCATGATTAGTCCATGCTACTGGCTAAGGACACTCACATGGTCCATGATATGGTCCATGCTACTGGCTAAGGACACTCACATGGTCCATGATTAGTCCATGCTACTGGCTAAGGACACTCACATGGTCCATGATATGGTCGATGCTACAGGCTAAGGACACTCACATGGTCCATGATATGGTCCATGCTACTGGCTAAGGACACTCACATGGTCCATGATATGGTCCATGCTACTGGCTAAGGACACTCACATGGTCCATGATATGGTTCATGCTACTGGCTAAGGAGACTCACATGGTCCATGATATGGTCCATGCTACTGGCTAAGGACACTCACATGGTCCATGATATGGTCCATGCGACTGGCTAAGGACACTCACATGGTCCATGATATGGTCGATGCTACTGGCTAAGGACACTCACATGGTCCATGATATGGTCGATGCTACAGGCTAAAGACACTCACATGGTCCATGATATGGTCCATGCTACAGGCTAAGGACACTCACATGGTCCATGATATGGTCCATGCTACTGGCTAAGGACACTCACATGGTCCATGATATGGTCCATGCTACAGGCTAAGGACACTCACATGGTCCATGATATGGTCCATGCTACTGGCTAAGGACACTCACATGGTCCATGATATGGTCCATGCTACTGGCTAAGGACACTCACATGGTCCATAATGTGGTCCATGCTACAGGCTAAGGACACTCACATGGTCCATGATATGGTCCATGCTACAGGCTGAGGACACTCACATGGTCCATGATATGGTCCATGCTACTGGCTAAGGACACTCACATGGTCCATGATATGGTCGATGCTACTGGCTAAGGACACTCACATGGTCCATAATATGGTCCATGCTACAGGCTAAGGACACTCACATGGTCCATAAAAATTAATAATTTTATCACTTCTTATGATCTTGATTTTATGCTTATGGCTGAAACATGGCTGGACCAAAATACAGGAAATGCAGTTCTAATAGAAGCAACACCACCCAATTTTAAATTCGAATCCGAAATACGAGAAAACAAAAGGG